GCCCAGTCATCAAGACAGAACCCAAAACAGAAACTGTTTAATAAAAAAACAGTAACTGTTATACCAAACAGAAAAATAGTACACTGTTTTTAAAAAAATCTGCTATAGAGCTGCTCCATTTGCTCCTCCTCTCTTCAGCTTTCAACACCTCTAATCATACCCAAGAAACCTTAACTCATCAGCATAAACCAGCACCATCTATACAAGCTGACTTAGCCTTTATCATAAAAAATGACTACAGTTTTTACTCGAACAGCTGGCAGTCTGCTTCGGTCCTGCAGCAGCAACATCTTGATCATATTCGGCGGCACAGCAGCTCCTGAAAAATCAGAAGAAAATTGGCCCTTGACAGCCCTGTTCGCCAAAGCATCCGCAACCCCATTTGCTTCTCTGTACACATGAAACAAATTTGAATCCATATCCCCCAGCAAACCCTTAATCTTTGCCAAAAATCCACAACATGACCATGGTCATGCCAAACCATTCCTTACAATATTCACAAGCACCCTAGAATCCAATTCAATTACCAATTTGTAATTAGTTAAACTATACTGTTCAACTAAACACAAACCATCTAGTAACGCCCTAAACTCCGCCTCCATGTTCGAACATACACCGTAGAAAAAAGAGGCAGCTGCAACCACTCTCCCAATCTCATTTCGCACCACCACACCCCCACCAGCAAGCCCAGGATTTCCCTTGGATGCCCCATCAACATTCATTTTCAGCATATCCACCGAAGGACATCCCCAACAAACCCACGTAACTCTAGTCCAAATCTGAACAGAAAAATCAACACGAAGCAACTCCATTAAGTTCCTCCCAAAGTCATCCTCTTTCACTTTTGGCTTTAAGTTCCTGCTTTGGTACCTAAGAATACTGCATATTCGTAAAATCATGGAATAAGACAAAGCATTCCCCTCACCTGCTACTCTTCTGCATCTCTCCTTCCACAACTGCCAGTAAATAAGCAAAAGAAGTGCTCCTTCCCAAACCATGTCCAACAGACTGCTTACTAAAAATTCTACATAACCTTCTCAACCTAACAAAAGGAGACTCTCCTTGAATTAAAATAAACCCCATCATTTTGGCCATCCTTCCCCAAACAGCCTCTGCATATGGGCACTGAACAAACAAATGATCAGTACTTTCCATAGCATCAAAACATAACCTACATCTACTAGCAAGAGGAATCCCCAGTTGTTTAATTCTGCAATCCAGTGGAAGAGATCTCATCAACAATTTCCAACCAAGTAACTGTGCACTAGGAGCAGTCTTCATGTCCCAAATCAACGAAGCAATATCATTTTTCTCCTGCTGCCCCCTCAAATGCTGCCAAGCCGACTTGACAGTAAATACCCCAGGTGAAGTACCTTGCCAAATCAGCCTATCCTCCTGCCCACTCAAGACCACACCAGCCCCACAAATCTCCTCTTTTAACTGATCAGTCAGCAAAGCATCCATACCATCAAACTGCCACTGAGCCCCTGCCACCTCTGATAAACTGGGAAAATCGCAAGGAGCACCTGCAATTCTGCTTATTAAAGGCCCACTCCCTAACCAATTATCACCCCAAAAATCTATCTTTGCACCATTACCTACCAAATATTTCGATTGACACACCACCTTTTCAAAAAAATGACTCTAAGCATTGAAACACTTAGAATGACTCCTACCCATACATCTTATCAAGTGCCTCCCCTTAAGAAACTTGGAAGAAAACACTCTAGCCCACAAAGAATCCCCCTCCATCAACCTCCATACTTGCTTCATACGAAAAGCATCTTGCACATCCTCCAACTTTCTTAATCCCAAACCACCCTCAGACGTAGGCAAAGTCACCTTAGCCCAAGACACCCAATGTCTCTTCCTATTATCCAACTTGTTTGACTAAATGAAAGCAGCCATCATGGAGTTCATACAAGCCAAAATAGTCTTAGGTAAGTTCACACTAGCCAATAAATGAATAGGAATAGAACTCAGCACTGTCTGCACCAAAAGAACTCTACCCATATTAGAACGCAACTTAGAATACCATCCCTCCATTCTTTTACGAAATTTCACTAATACCTCCTCAAAGTACCTGATTCTAGTCCTCCCATTAAAGATGGGGCAACCCAAGTAAGTAAATGCGCACTTCTTAATGGGAATCCCAGCCATCTCAGACAACACAAGTCTCCTTGAGCACCCAATATGCTTTGAAACAAACATTGAACTCTTAGGGAGACTAACTCTCTGGCCAGAAGACATCTCATACTCCTTCAAAAAGGACATCAAATGCTCCAAAGATTTTTTAAAACCTCTCAAAAAAATTAGAGTGTCATCTGCAAAATGCAAATGACTCACTAATGAAGTACCTCTTCCCAGGTGAAAGCCTTTCACAAGGCCCTGCTGATAAATTCTACACAATACCCTGCTCACAACCTCCTCAGCCAACACAAACAAGCAAGGGGAAATGGGATCCCCTTGCATTAACCCTCTAGATGCTGGAAAGAAACCCCTTCTTAAACCATTCACACACACAGAAATATTCTGATTTCCCAAGCAATTCCCAATGATCTTCACAAAAATCTCAGAAAAACCAAACTGGATAACACTCTCAACAAAAAAATCCCACTCTATCCTGTCATACGCTTTCATCATATCAAGTTTTAAAATCATATTCCCTGCCTCCACCTTTCTATCCAAGTCATTCACCATTAACTGAGCCAAAGAGATACATTCCCCAATACCTCTACCCTTCACAAATCCATGCTGCTCCTCAGACACCAACACAGCCAACAAAGGAGCCAACCTACATGTCAACAACTTAGTAAAAATCTTATAAACAAAATTACATAAGCTGATTGGCCTGAAATCAGCAAAGGTAACTGGATTAACTTTCTTAGGTATGATCACCAACAAGGTAGCATTTACCGACCTTGGAATTATGCCACCTTTAAGAAAAAATTGACTGCACTTAACACATCATGTTTAATAATATCCCAAGCTGCCTGGAAAAAATTCCCAGACCACCCATCCACACCAGGCCCACTATGAATTGACATAGAAAAGACAATAGATTTTACTTCCTCCAAAGATGCCTCCCTAAGAAGCTCATCATTTAATTCAGCAGTCACAATTCTAGGAATAACTTCAAATAAGTGCTCCTGCATCACATGCCCTTCACTTCTATACAAGGTAGCATAAAAATCCTCGGCACACTTCCCAATCTCCTCCTCATTATCAATCCAGACACCCTCCCCATTCTGAATTCTCTGAACTCTATTTCTAACTGCCTTATCTTTAGCTAGGACATGAAAGAATTTAGTATTTTTCTTGCCCTCCGTAGCCCATTTCACATTCGCCTTTTGTTTCCAATACACCTCCTCAAGCTTCAAGACTTCATCAAGATCTTTTTTGATGAGAATCATGAACTTGCTGGTTAACCAATGAATCCTCTGTTTCAATAAGGATCTCAGCAACCTTTATCTTTTCCTCAAGAACTTTAATACAATCAAAAATATTACCAAACTCCTCTTTGTTCCACTTCTTCACATGCCATTTAAGATATTTTTTCAATAGGATTTTCAACATACCATCCACCCCATTTAGAAGCAATCAAATCCAAAAACCTTGGGTCTTTCACCCACATATCTTGGAATTTGAAATATGAAATTCTTTTAGCATCCACGGATTTATCAACTTTAAAAAGCAAAGGACAATGATCAGATTTTCCCCTGCCTAAATGCAAAACCTCATCTCTTCCATACCCCAACTTCCAAGCAACATTAGTAAAAATTCTATCAATACGTTGCCACATTCTATCTCTCTTGGTTATTACACCAAGTAAACCTACTCCCCACAAAACCACAATCCATAAGACTAGCAGCCTGCACAAAGTCCCCAAACTCTTCCATAGCAATTACAAAAGGCGAAGCACCCCCCATTCTCTCATCATTTTCTTCTTCTTCTCCTTCTTCTCAGCTTTTTCTCCTCTTCTTCCTTCTTCCCCTTTTCCTTCTCCAATTCTGTTTTAGTTTCTGTTTCTCGCAATTCACCAATGTTCCTCACTTCCATTCTCTTCCTCCTTATCCTTATTTTTTTCCTCCCTCATTCTTCCTCTCGTTTTTCCTCCTTCTCCTTCTCATTGTCCTCCTTTTCTTTCTCTTCACTTCTTCTTCTTCCCGATTTTCCTTCTCTTTCTCCTTTTATGGTCTTTATCCCTCTTTCCTCCTCCTACTTCTCCTTTTTCTTCTACTCTTTCTTATTATTTGGGTTGTTTCTTCCTCCTCCTTACCATCACTCTTTCCCCTCCATCCTACTCCTTTTGCTCTTCTCCTCCTCCTCCTCCTCCTCCTCCTCCTACTCATTGTCCTTATTCTTCTGTACCACCAGAAATTAAGCTAACCACCAGAAACCGCAATTTCAAAGATCAAATCAATAGCAGTCCTTATTCATTCCCCTCCAGCGTAACGTGTTGAAGGGACTCACTAAAGATTCCACAAGTGGGATCATCTACTTCCCAAGTTCAACTACTTGGGTGACTATTCAAAAGTCATGGTGTTGTGGCGAAATTAAGTCACCATTGATACGTGGTGGCACTATGTAATGACAGACAATAAATGGTCAAAATGAACTTCATTTTATTGCACAAGTAGTTATTATCTTATATAGATAGGGTATTATTGAACTTTGTAGGATTCGCTTGTCTACTTATATTATTGGGTGGTGACACAATTAATTCCCTGAAGTGGAGGAAAAAGAGAGTGAACAACTGCCTTGATCTACATTGCGATGTAGATTTTATTTCAGGTAAAACGGAGTTACTATCAATACCAGGGATTAAGATACTTTTTATTATATTATTGCTCAATTTTACTCATTGTTAAATTATCTATCATTAAAGTAAGTGGAACCCATTATTTATAAGTGATCCCCTCACCTTATACACTGGGTGTGATCTATTAGGAAAAATGCAAGTTGGACTTAAAATGCTTACTTAATATTTTGACTTCAAGAATCACAATTATTAAATATGTAGAGAGTTTCAATAAATACTGGGACTCTCAGTTAAATCAATAATAATTACTGATTAAGTTAACATTTTAAGTTCAAGTAGAATTACTCGATCTAGTGCATAAGATCCATGATTGACCTGAAATTTCTTGTTTTTAATATCGGTTTGTCTTTTTGAGTCCCTTACCATTTTTTAAAGCTCATGATGTGAAATCATCTCTAATACTGATGATCACTTAAAGAGATCTTGATTAGGATAACTAATTAAGCCAAAGAGAGATAGCTGGACATCATCGCTTATAAAATTTGAATGTACTGCGTTGTCTAACAGGGAAGGTATCATTGCTTCTATACCCATATCCTCTTTTATTTTCATAACCCGAGTAATCCCGTGTGGTGAAGTATACTTCTTCAACCAAGTGCAACCCAGCCTCCTTTGCTAACTTCTCTATCTCCCACATACTGAAAGGATGTGCTGTCTTGTGAGTCACGTGCACTTCTCCACCTTTTGTTAGGAGCTTGCTGTGTTTAGACAAGAGGAAACCAGCATGAGGAAAATTAAATACAATTCTGTCGAATGTTTTCAGATTGAGTAGAGGGTGTTGGCTCATGGGGTAGGCGACCAATCCACGCACAATGTTGCACCCATAGTCCTCCAGTTTCTTTAGGTTGGTCACTGCAGTAGGATGCTTTTCCCCTAATGTCTCTTTGGTTTGCATGCAAAAAAGTATTAGAGATACGATGTTTCGACCAGAAGAGATCTATCGTTATCTAGATAGTTTGGTTTTTTGCCAAGACAAGGCCCGGATTACATTTCCCGGCATTTAGAAAAATGCCGGCATCTTTCCCGACGGCAGTATAAATGCTGTTTGCAACAAACACTGTAAATGTTCATCGCTGACATTTGTATGGACTTTGCAGACGTTTATAAATGTCAGCTATTCAAAAAAATTCTTGCATCGAGTATTATCATACTGTCATGGAATGGAATGCTCCAAAGAGAAGAAAGTATGACATACCTTTAGAGTCAAGAAAGGTGGCAACCATATTTGAGGCAGATCCAAATGCTTCAGTTAAGCATGCTGAAAAGGAGAAATCTCCCTTCCCGACAAGCAAAATCTTGTGAGAACTGCTGTAGTGTTTTATCCATTTCTCTGCTTTATCATCCACAGAAACTTTGGACTCCATTCTGTATTGGTCTACATTGGCAAGTAAAAAACTAGATACTATTGGGTACTCTTGCTATAATGCTGATTCTGGGATTTATAATTTGATTTTGGTACTTGTATTTATAAGAATTGCACTGGGAATGTAAACCATAGTGGTGACTCATGCCTCTTCAAATTCACTGCTCTTATTTGAATGCTATTGTAATCTAATTTATTAGCCTAATTAATTATGACATTTTGATTGACTGTGGTTCCCATCAAACATTGAAGTTTAATGTCAATTCAAGAGTTATAGTGCAACCATATCACTAGATTAATAAATTAAATTAAATTTTTAGATCTAAATAACATTACTACTCTCAATAATTACGCATTCCTGTTTTTAGGAATTTTCAATTAAATTGCCCATGTCATTCTGTTGGTTGAGAGAAGCCTCTTAGACTTCCAGCCTGAGAGACCAATGAGGTCATGACTCATCATTATTTTTTATACGAAATGTGTTTTGTATAATGTATATTATTATTTTTGACTGATGATTATTCGAATAAGAGGTTGTCACATCATATTTGATTAATTTAAGTCTATATACCAATATTCGATCTTCTTATGATCCAATTAGCATCATAATGACGAGTAAAAATCTGTCATTTTGTGTATACTTTTAATATGGGCTAGTTTAATTATTTAGATTTTGAAGTGGGTACTTAATGTAGTCATTTAGTTAACCACTAAAAACCACGGTTTGAAAGACTAAGTCATTCAGTACCAAAAAAAAAAGACTGAGTCATCTTGAACCGTTATTCAGCGACTCCATTCCAGTTCAGCGTAATGTGTTGAAGGGAAGTCACTAATCAAATTCCAGAAGTAGGCATTCCATTTGATATGAATAGTACTAGTTCAGTCAGTTTTGAGCTCAATCCCAATTCATTTACTAGCTTGTTTGAATATTCCAAAAGGTGTTTTGAAAAAGTTGAATTCTATTATTGCTGGATTTATTTGGTATAGCAAGATGGATGGTAGAAGAAGACATTGGGTTTCTTTGGAGAATGTTTCCAAACCCAAATGTGAAGGGGTTTTGGTGAAGTCCAGTCTGCTTTTAGAATAAAGCAGGTTTGGGGTGTTCTTAATGGGCAAAAGTATTTAGAGGAAAATTTTTGAAAGGCAAGCATGTGTTGAGATCTAGTTTGACTGGAGTGGGTCAAAGTTTTAGAATGCTGAGGCCTTGGTTTGAGCTGGTGGCGAATAACTCTATGATGCTTGTTGGGAATGGGCAGAATTCTGACTTCTGGTGTGATTCTTGGTTGGATTCTGGTCCTTTGTTGCATAGGATTGAAGGTGTTCCTTCTTCTTTTCCCAAACTCAGTGAGTTATGGATTGATAGGGAATGGCATTTAGAGGAGGTTAATGAATGGCTTTCTCCGTAGCTGCAAAATGAGATTAGATGTTCTGGTGTGAGTTTGACGGAAAGATCTGATAAAAGAGTTTGGAAACTTACCACTTCAGGTGTTTTTTCAGTCAACTCTGCATGGGGTACGGTAAGAAGAAGAGGTGTTCAAAGTCATATTGCTCAGAGTATTTGGAACCAGAAAATCTTTCCTAGTACTCAGTTATGCACTTGGAAGGTTTTTAGGGAGGCAATGACTACTGATGACAGGATTCAAAGAGTGGGGGTGTGTTTAGCTAGTAAATGCAATTTGTGTGGTGTAAAGGAGGAGAGTGCAGATCATGTTTTTATCAGTTGTTCTTTTGCCCATGAGGTGTGAAGAAGGGTGTCTGTGGTTATGGGATTTGAGATTTTGCCAAGTGAATCTCCTATGTGTAGATTTTTGAGGCTGGTTAGAGCTTTTAGAGCTCTTTCTCTAAGTCATTCTTTAATAAGGGTGTATCTATGTTGATCTTTTGGGCTTTATGGAAGGAGAGGTGTAGGAGGAGATATGAAGGGTTGAGTTTGAATGCTTATGCTCCTTTCTTACAGGTGGTAAGTGCATTGAGATGGCAAGTTTTCATGATGAAGCCCAGGAGGATGGATGGTCCGCGGGGGGGGGAAAGAAATGCTCCAGGACCTCAGAATTGGCACTCCTTTTTCTGTGGTTACTAAAGTTAGTTGGATTAAATGGCATCCCCCACCTATAACCATGCTGAAATTGAAAGTGGATGGTGCTTCCAAGGGGAGTACTGGCCTATCTGGTGGTGGAATGGTTATTAGAAATGCTGATGGGCATCTGATCTTTGCTGCTGCTGCATTTTATGGATTGGGGTCAAATATGCAGGCTGAGTGCAGGGCATTATTGGATGGTCTGAATCAGACTCTCAGGTTTTGGTCCAACTGGTTTTGGGCAAGGCAGTTGTTCCTTGGAGATTGCAAGGATTCATGGAGCAGATTTGGAGATTACTTGGTGGGTTGAATTTTCAGCTGAGGCATGTATATAGAGAGGCCAATATGATTGCAGATTTTTTGGCCTCTCTTGCTGTTCAAACTCAAGTATGTACTGAGTTCTCTTCTCAAAACAGTCTACCTCTGTCTGGCAGAATGCTCATTCATCAGGATCAATCTGGAATGCCTACTGCAAGGAAAAGAAACATGGTGATTTGTGATCAAAGGCAAGGAGTTGGATGATGTAGGAGGGATTTTACTTGATTTCAGACTGGGCAGTTTTCCTGATTGTTATTGTCTGTTTTTGGGTTAGGAAGTGTTCCAGGTGCTGTAATGCATCAGAGAGAGCTGAATTAAGGGGTTTTAATTTTGTTGTAGGATTAAAGCCAACTCTTTGTGGCTTTTTTCTTTTGCATCAGATGCTGGCCTGAAGTTTGGAGGTGCTAACTGAAGCTGCAGTGACTTGATTAGACAGAGCAAGAGCTGTCTCTTGTCACCTGTTGTGCTATATCAAAAGGAGTTGGATTGTAAATATAGTTCAGATTGGCCAGTTGCTGAGCTGTTCCTCTCTGCACTGGACTGCAGTCTGTTCTATTTTGAGAAAGCTGGAAGATGCTGAGGTAAAGATGCAGTGGATTGATCAGTCAAGGTAGGAGCTGAGCTGAGCTGCAGGATCAGTAAACAGTTGTTGTACAGGAGCTTTAACAGAATTTTCTATTTTGTACAGTTTACTGTTTTTGGACTGTTAAAACAGTTACTGTTTTTTTTTAACAGTTTCTGTTTATTTGATTCTTGTAATTTTTGGATTCAATAAATAAAATTCTCTCTTTTTTTAAAAAAAAAAAAAGTCGTTAACTAGTTACTTAAACTAGGAGTGAACAATGGCTTTGACTCACATTGGAAGGCACATTTTCTTCCAAAAGAAAATCAAAATTAGAGTTAACAACATTACAACTTTTTTAATTTTTCGAAAAAAATATTTTTTGTTGTAATGCAACCAGGACATGTATATATATTTAGTTGTCATTTGGATGTTTTAGTTTCTAATATTGTTTAAAAAATGTAATTTAAATTTAATTTAGGAACTTAATTAACTACGTACACTTGTTGAATTTAAAATGAATTTTATTGATCTAACCTTAAAATTAACGATTTTATTGAATTTTAGTGATTATAATGAATTAAGTCTTATGACATTGCTCATGACAATTGATTTTAATAATAAGATTGCAAAGTTATAATATAAATATCGAGTAAGATAAAAAAATGAGTTGAACTTTAGCCCATAAATTTTTTTGAAAGAGATTTAAAAAATTTTACAATAATGCTACTTGCTCTTAATTTGAGGACTAAGTACATTAGATAAAGTAGTAAATTTTGTTTAAAGCTAGCGCTCACTATTAATTCAATGATTAAAATATATTGTGTAATTAAATTATATTCTAAAATTTTAATTATATATCATTATTTATTTTATTTTTGGGGCCTAAATTTTTTTTCTAATTTGGGGGCCTAGGCAATGGCCTAAAGGTTGGGCCGGCATTGAGTGTGTGTGTGTGTGAGAGAGAGAGATGGATAGAAGTGAATGTTGCCTAGGAGTGAGAAGATATTTGGGGATTGTCCTGATCCAACAAATCGGGTGGTCCATCGGATCACAGGCTGGCCCAGTCCACTTCATAAATAGGCGGTGGGCCTTTGATGCAGCCTAGCATTCTAATTTGGCTATTTAGCCAGTCAACGGCCGTGGTGTAATGTATACCATGTTATGGAGCGAATATATGTGTGGATAGTAAACTCTCAGCATCCATTACAACCCATCAGCCCTACATACATAAGGAGCCTGGGCCATGTTTCAATCCAAGTATGTGTGACCCCCATTCACTATCCATGAATACATGAACCCCTCGGCCCAGGACTTGACCCGAAACTAGCAATTCCTATTCCTAAATGTCTACAATCGAGATTAAAATTAGCAAGCATGAATGAATGGTTCTCTCTCCAACTTGATTAAATAGACGATATATATTTCTCTAAAAAAAATAGATGAATAGAATAGATATCCCACAAATATCTATTCCAAACATCTATGGATAAGATTAGGGTAGCATGGAGATGTCATATTGAAATTGATTTTCATTTAAATAATTTATAACCATTATTTTAAACATAACAAAAGTAACATTGAAAAGAAAAATGCTTAAGAAACACTAGGAAAAAAAAAGAGAGAAAGAAATTGTGTATCATTATACCTAAGGCTGAACAAATTATCCGTGTTCAGGGGCTAACCTGTTAGCCTGGTGCCTCCTCAGCCCATGGATAGCTTACAACTTAGCTGATAAGACCATAAGTTGTGATTTTCAAACTTATAAACTTGATGGGTTAGTCCTTCGACAAAGATATAGTCAAAGCCATTAGCTAAAAAAAAAAAAAATTTTATCAGTCACTAACATCCCCTCTGTACAAACTGATAGCACTCATTACTGTAAATTCTTTTGTGGGATTAAAAGCAATCACTCAATTGAACTTTAATTATGATGTATCATTTCAACGCCAAAGTTGTTTTCCGCAATTTAATGCTCTTTGATGAATATATATTTTTTATTTCCACTCAATTTTTTTTTTATTTGCGTCAGTTCTTAAAAAAT